TGCAGAGAGACACAGGATTGGCTGCGGCCAGGTGGTCCAATATGTCTGCGCCCTAATCCGACGCCACACCACACCACACAACACGTGTGGAGGTTGCGATCTCGTAATTGGTTAGCTAATTTGCACAATTTTTGTAGTTATTTAGCAGCCCACCTGGTTTAGAAAAATGTTTTGAGTTTTGAAAGTTACCTCATAATTCTTGATGCCTTTTGACGAGGAGTGTGGTCTAATCGGTCATGTATTTCTCGTTCTTCACTTAAACTACATTCTAAACTCTCGTGTGACAATTCATTTACCGTTTTGCGAAACTTTCTTCCAATGTGGAACTTTTTTGTTTGCAGAAATCTTTAGTTGTTTGATCTGTATGCCATTATTTTCAATTTTCTACTAATTATTTTAAAGGCGGTTTGTGTGTTCCTTATTATTTTTGTGGTCATATCGCTTGTTAAGTATTCAAAGTCACTGGTATAATGTTACACTCAGATGTTGCAAACCACTTCTTCGATTCTCTTTATCTCAAAATTTTTGTAATACAGCTAACATCTCTGATTTCCTCATTAGCTGCATTTTTTGACAAATTTATAGCCTCAGAGTGGTCCCTGTATTTGACTTTAGTAACATTTTCTTGGGCACAGAGCCAACAGATTTTGCGTTACTACCGTATCTGTGGGCTGGTGTTTAATTACGAATGATTTTGCCCACTCATAAAAATTAAAACACGACCACAACTTAAAGGCTCGAAGCACTAGCATCAGAGCTCCGAAGTATTTCGTTTAAGAGAAAAGGAACTTAATAAAAGTACCGTCGGAAGCCACATTAATGTGTTGAAGATTAATGTGTCGTCGTTTTGCAAAGGTAATTGACTGGATCGGATAGCTATAATTGAGAAATCTACGCTATCATGGGTTCACTTGTAGATGATGATCTGCTTTGACAATGCACTTGATTTTTGGCCCACGTTGCATATTAAAGATATTTTTGGCATGCATCATTCGCCTGCACAAAATACTTACTTGAGTTCGTCGACCGACCACTGCATAATTTCTACGACTAATACTCAAAATTACATATTTGCTCTCCCCATGCATGGTAGACTAACCATTGTCGACGGCACGAGCTCCCATACACTTCTGTTTTCCACTGATGGACTTTAAAAGCACCGAGGCCCATGACGACAGCATGGAGGATGAAGATGTCGGTCCACCCGATGTCTATTTGCCTGGTCATTCGCGTCCTTTGGAGGAAGACGAGGAGTTAGTGATGGATCGATCGGCTTACCGTCTCTACTACCAACTCCAGGTGGAAGCGCCCTCACTTTCTTTCGATATCCTTCTTGATTGCTTGGGTGATTCTCGCGAAGTGGAGGTGAATGGAGTCGACCCACTGACCGCATACATTGTTGCAGGTACCCAAGCCCGGGAATCCAACGATAACAGCTTAATCGTTATGCGACTTGCGAATATGCTGCCAATAAAGAGGAAGGTAGGGTTATAATATGTTCTTGAAAATGTATTCACGAGGCAGTGTGAGGTGAAGCGTTGACTTGTGCCATATCTCTGATTGAGTAGTTTAATTGAATATTAAAAAGTAAATCAAATTTGAATCACTGTTCGCGTAGACTGAAATGTGTGCAACAATAAAGTTTGGGGAGACGGAACTAAGTGAATTGCAATTTTTAACAAGTGATTGATGAAGTTTAATTATGTGAAGTGCTGGGTTACATTTTCCGCCAAATACTTTGGTCAAACAATGCTCCATATTCTGTTTGCTTGCTTGTCTGGTCATTGCTCGTCCGATCGCAATATTTTACGCTAACTGTCAATGAGAAATGTTTGAAAAATAGACCTGCCTTATTATTCAGAAAAAGAGTTACCATTTTCTAAGTTTAGAATTAACAGAAAGCGCTCGTATAGGTCTAAATTGGTTATTAAGTAACTTAATATAAATATTACTTTAGGTAGATTACATGGATTGCCTTCGTAAACCAAATTCTTAATTCCCAATATGTTGTCAACTATTCGTAAGATTTGCAGCAAAGGATTCCCCTCGGCTTGCAAAAATAATATCTCTTGTGGATAATTATTGACAATTTAGTGCTTATCAACTTTGATTTATGAATAGTTGCTTCGATTTCCAACGCCCAGTTACTATGACAGTAAATTAGGTGAAATTAACTGCGTCGTGTCAATGTACGCATTACTTTCGTAGTGGCTATGATGGAACTTAGACGTCCGTGATTAACCGTATCACCACAATATTTAAGAATCTAGTCCTTATGTTTGCAAACCCTTTTTGTAAACTTATTGAAAATTTCACTCACAATGGGCCACTCAATCGGTTGTTCCGATTTGATATCCCTACTTAACCTCGTTGACCGAATTGGTGTTCCTCCCAAACGGTATAGGGTAGTGTGAAAACGCTGACCAAACATTAGTCCCTCCAGTAATTGCATTGTTAAATGTTATTGTGTTTGTATTTACCACTTAAGAATAAATTCGTGCTTCTGTTATCTGTAGTGTTTCCTTCTTGTTAAAACGAAAGAATCTGTTGTGAACTTGCCGGGAGTATGAATTCGACTTTCTTTTTGTGGATACTAATCTGGACATTTCAACGCCTATGGTGCTCAGTGTAAGGTCCCTAAAACATTTGGCAGGATTTAGAAGTGAGAATATAATCAGATGTAACTTCAGTTTCAATTTGATCGCCATATTTAAATGACTGTCCGTGTTTTTTAAAGTGGCGCCACAAGCAAGCGAAACCCATTTTGGAACGCGGACAAGTTACGTCCATAGCTTTCCCTAGTCATGTGGCTAGTTACTAGAGATCGTTCGAGGGAAGAATCGGTGGATGTTTCGAACAGGAGGCACTTAACTCAAAAGTGTAATTTTACTGTCATGCTATGTTGCTCGTCTTCTTATTTAAGGCCGAGAATGACCAGCAATCTAGTTCAGACTCCGAAAGTGATTCAGATAGCGAGAGCGATGAGGACCTTGACAGTCTGCCCGAAGTTGAGGCCGCAACGATCAATCATCCAACTGGCACGATCAATCGTGTTCGAGCTCATCAGTTCAACGGCATCTATATGGCAGCCACGTGGTCGGAATCAGCTGAGGTATGCATCCCCACCTATCCCCTTTTTACTTGCAATCAGTAGTAACTGCAGTTATTGTTAATTTCAATGCTTAGTCGTATGACGCTTTATCTGTGGAGAGTATGCGTCCGCCTGCGCTTTTCAATTTCTAAACTGTGCTTCACACACATTTGCTTCGGTGTTTGCTTCGCATCTAGCCTGGAAATTTTCGGAAATGTATTTCGCCACATTGTTTTTTTGAAGGATATTATTGTTCTCAGTGTATCATTTAGAACTGTGTGTCGTGCGACTAATTTAATAGCGTTGACTCACAACTGGGTGAAATCACGTCCACCGTCTCTTTGTTCTTTGGTCGCGCTTAAAGCGACCACTTTCACACCAAGGATCTCTTTTACGTAGAAGTGAATGTGTAACTTTATATGAAATCATGTACGTGATTAGCAGACCACGACAGGTAACTTCTTTAACGCTTGACATAATTTGTTGATGGACGACAACTATACCAGCCTTTTCACCGACCGATTAGTGATGAGACGCTTTTTGACGACAGAAATAAGAGGTTTTCCAGCTCGCCTTCGCGTGATAGATGACGTGATTCTCATCGACGCTTTTCCTTGTCACTGAGGTGAATGTTTGGGACCTCACTCGCCCTCTCTCCGCTGTCAATGACTCCGCCGTCATGGCGGAGTACACCCGAAACCACGAGTCCCCCGCACCCATATTTACCTTCAGTGGACATAGTTCTGAGGGCTACGCTCTCGCCTGGAGTCCTTCGTCTGGCGCCTCCGGTCAGCTTGCAACAGGTGATTGCAAAGGCGAAATCTACATTTGGCAGCCGAGGGTAAGGATGGCTCTGTCTAATTGGACTTCTTTTTTTAAATTCTTACAATGCTTTGTAATCTTGATTTGCTCTCGTGTCACACCTCCACAGTTCCCCAAATTATAAGTTCGATTACGGTCAGGCTTCGAATGCCCCCCCCCCTTAATATCCTACAATTTTACTCACATTTTCGAAAAGCTGTGGAAACACGCAACTTCTAGCCTAGTAACCAGTCTCAGTTTACTTCGCACCATTTACTTTAAAGCACCAAAGATTCCAGTTCGACCTAGGACATCACGGCAATGCATCGTCAGTCAACAAACGACATCTCCCTGGGGTGGTATTCGTGTTAGTATTTGCTTGTTTTAAGTGATTTTTGTTGAGACGGCTGTCTTGTTCCTGGCTTAAGCTTTTGGACAATTCCTTATATTACATGCCTGATTGTTTCTCCATGGTGAACGACGGTGGTTAAAACTGAAATTACCTGTCATTTTAACCAAACTCCCGCATAATTGGCTTCTGTGGATAATGCGAGCTTGACTAGCGTGCAGTAGCATTTCTACCCCACTCATTCACATCAGTACATCACGAAAGAAGTCAATCATTCATAAATATAATAGCCATCGTTTCCTTTCTGCCAGTGGGCTTGTGAGCAGAATTTTTCGATACCAATGTTGCGTAGTTGAGATATTCACCACACGCTATCGACCGGAGTCTTACTAGCCATATGATTCATGGATATTGCTGAACTGTTTCAATGTGAATTTTTACTGATTCAATTGCTTTTTTTTCTTACCTTGATAATTTATCTGCTTTTCATTAATAAACACGTCTCTTGATGTCTTATGCTTTGTAGCACATACCTGTAAAATACTAGCCGGCCACAAAAAAATTGCATTCAGCAGGTAGATCAACGTCCTTACGCAGTCTCTTCATAATACGCGGTTGACAACTAACTGCAACCAATCAAAAGAGGCTCCTGGTAACGGTTAAATTACTGGAAAGCCCATAGCAGCCGCAGTCATTTGCTGTCGTGAAGTCATTAGCGAGGATACGCACGGTCGAAATAGTTTCATTTGGTATAGCTGATGAAGCGTTGACTGCTGTTTTTTACGTACGCAGCGAAGTCTATCAATCGGAGCCACTTAAAATGTCCCATTTTTCCTGCAGCCAACTGGATGGGCAATTTCCACAAAACCCTACTTGGGTCACCAGGGTTCAGTGGAAGATATCCAGTGGTCTCCGACTGAACCCACTGTCTTCATTACTACCTCCACAGACTGCAGTTTCCGAGTGTGGGATACTCGGAGTGGACCAAAGGTATGTTAAACTCGCATTGTACTAGCATTTAAATATCGTTTAAGCACTATTAAAACTAGTCCTCACGTAAGTAGCATTTGTTAAATTTGACTTCCAATCTTTGCCACGAAGAATTGCCAACTTTGGAGCCAATTAATTACGTCATAATTACTAATTCGCCAGTTTGGCCGTTGGCTTATTTTTTTCGCTTCGTTTTATTTGACCTTGCCTACCTCTGCCTTAAGTTTTCATCCAAATTGGTACCATTAGTGCATGTCCATCGAATATCACAGATTATCTTCGTGCCCGCATTATTACTAAACTGAATGGATTATCACTACACCCATTCTAATACGCAGATAACTACTCGTTTCATTGTATCTCTGAATCGAGTCGCTTCTACGTGCAATTGAGCTGTAGTATCTAACACTGAGCATTAAGGACGTTACTCTTCACAGGAATGTTTGGTCTCGATTTAAGTCCACTGGATAATAATACCTAATCGCTATTCTACAACTTGTCAGGCTTCAGCCATGATCAGCGTTCTGAATGCCCACGAACTAGACATTAACGTCGCCTCTTGGAATTCCCAACAACCGGCATCTCTCCTGACCGGTGCTGACGATGGTTGTATTCGCGTCTGGGATCTCCGCATGGTCCATCAGCGTTACGGTGGCAGCGGCGGTGGTGTTGGAAGCTCTGGAATCACGGCATACACGCACTCCTTCGAGGTAGGTCTCATTTTTTATCTGATGTCTGCTAGGCTTAGTCTTCTTTAAAATCTCATTGGTTACACCTGAGTATGCTCGTGTATTTGAACATGGTGAAGTTTATTTGTTCTTTCATCTGCGGTCCTCTTAGACACTTTGGTCAGCTTTGACCCCTGAAGACACTATGATTTATCGTGGAGGGGAGCCTACAGATCTCTTTCAGTCAAATTGTAGAATCGTCAAACCTGTAATTGGAGTCTTTTTTTCCTTCATTTTAAAATCTAGTCCATTTTTCACAAAGTTACTTTTACTTAGCCTGTCGTATATTCTAAGAAAGCAGGCGCTGAGGGGTTGCACTTTCTGGTTAAGCTGAACTACTAATATTGTTTGTGTGACGTATAAACACGCCGGTAGATTGGCTAGTTCTTTTAAAATGCATTGATGTACAAAATGTTGCATGGTTGCTTTTATATACCAAGAAATTGCAATTATTTCTTACTTAAAGCATGTCACGATATGTTATGCCAATGTTCAAGCACAATGGATACAACCAAGATGGAATTTAGGCTGCTCCAAAGCTTCGCTAATTTCTAAAATGACTGCAATTCTAATTTTTGTATACCCTGACAAGTCAACATGTGTTCCCGCGCCGTCTCCTCGATTAAAAGAGCTACACGAACCACTAATAACAGACTGAGGCTTTGGTTTGTTGTGGGCCCCAGCATGTGGTCTTGAACCACTCCGGGGCCACGGAATTAACCCTGGCCCGATTACGTTTCCCTGATACCCACAATAAAGAAAAAGAACGGAAAAGACGTGGACACAGCCGTTTACTTCAGA